TCTCGCATTTACACTATGTGCACTTTCTATTTTCTCTTAAAAATAACAATAATAAATTGTTTATTATTGTAAATTAATATCAAATTCTTTACTTTTAATTTACATTTATAACATTTAAGCTTAGGCGTTACTGATAATAAGTATAATAAATTGTTTATATTTAAAATTACCATGATACAGTGAGCGAATTCTACCAATTATTAAAACGATAACAAACGTCGCAGTCTCTAATAGTTGATAGCTTCAATATTTTCAAGATTTTTATTAAATTATTATTTTTTTATTAATTTTTTTTTATTTATACAAATAAACTTTTTTTTTAAAATTTAAATTCATATTGTGGAACATTTCAATTTTATCATTTTTACAAATTACCTTCTTGCTACGTAACGACATAATTCCTTACATACCAATAATTAGACAATTTTCATTATTTCTAAAATTTTAAACTTTACATTAATAAAAAAAGAATATTTTTATTGCATGTGAACATCATTACACAGCTTTCATATCAGTTTATGAAATTCCTAAATCACGCCATATTCTGTGTAGGTATGCTAGAATTCTACGCATTAATAAATAAAAAAATCTAATTTCTCAGAAGATCTCTCAAAGAAAATAATATAATAAAATAAATACTACAAACTTGGAACACTAAGTAATGCTTCATATACGCGCACACACACATATTATCAATGAACTCATATTATCAAGTGCAATTACGATACCAAACACTACGTATTAAAATATGAGGTAAACGTTACTTCAAGGGTTAAAGTTTACAATTTTGCTACTGTTGAGTCGATCGTCGAACTATCCATATATATCGTAAGTCGGAAAGCGAAACGATATGTTAAACATTGCACATAAATAAAGTTACATTACTCCTCGACATCACGCACAACCTCGTTTTCCCTTTTACACAACGATCAGTATTCGCTCGAAAAACATCAAAGAATTCCCCAAACTCGGTATACATGTGCTCATTTATCTATTTTCACATAAAGAACAATCAGAGAATTGCTCAAACTCGGCACATTGCCCACCACATTGACTTTGCCCATGTGCACATCAATCTGTTTTCACTTTAAAAAAAATCCCAGAATTGCACAAACTCGGCACGGACTACACTGGCTTTGCCCATGTGCACATCAATCTATTTTCACTTAAAAAAAATCCCAGAGTTGCACAAAACTTGGCATTGCGCACCACATTGGCTTTGCCCATGTCACATCGATCTATTTTCACTTAAAAAAAACATCCCAGAGTTGCACAAACTCGGCATTGCGCACCACATGGGTTTGCCCATGTCACATCGATCTATTTCACTTAAAAAAAAACATCCCAGAATTGCACAAACTCGGCATTGCGCACCACATTGGCTTTGCCCATGTGCACATCGATCTATTTTCACTTAAAAAAACATCCCAGAGTTGCACAAACTCGGCATTGCGCACCACATTGGCTTTGCCCATGTGCACATTGATCTATTTTCACTTAAAAAAACATCCCAGAATTGCACAAACTCGGCATTGCGCACCACATTAGGTTTGCCCATGTGCACATCGATCTATTTTCACTTAAAAAAACATCCCAGAATTGCACAAACTCGACATTGCGCACCACATTGGCTTTCGAGCTTTTCTATAGTAGTCAAATGCGACATAATTTAATACAGTCTCTCACAGCCAAAAAAAAAAAAAAAAAAAAAAAAAAAGATTGAGCGCTATAAAAATAGGCTTAACTGAACGCTGATCAGTTCTTACCGTTGATTAGACGTAACAGTTCTTGCACTGAATTAGGCTTAAGAGTTCAATGCTCGAAAACTTCAAAATGTTCATTCTAAAATAAGTATTTTGCTAATTAAGCACAGTTGAAACGTTCCTGGGCCCATAACCATTGAAGAAATAAATGACCCTAAATAGATTGTAATATCAATGAACATTTTTAATGACAGAAATTAACTTAAACATAGTTGCGTACAGCAGAGACGCGCGGATAAACGCGAACGGCGCATGCGTCAGGAGAACTCTCTTAAGCTAAACGTCGTATTATAATTTATGATACAACAATTTTATTAATAAATAAAAAAAAAAATCTGAAATTTTTCAGATTTTAAAGTACGTCCAAAGGTGCGTTTTTCTAACGTTTTGAGTGTTACCTTTATTTATTAAATATCATGTTCTTTGCACTTAAACCATGAAATTCAGTTCAAGAGCAATATCGCAAAATAATGTTAAAGTAAGCATATCTTTAGAATTTCCGATATACACAGTCTCGCGAGCTTGTGATAAAAGTATTTTTTTTTATATATAACGTTGCCATTTCTCGCTTTTAAAGCATTGAGTTTTGTAAATCAAAAATTCGTTAAAGTTTTACAAAATATAAAATCTATAATAAAACAAATTCAAATTTGGATTTCAGATGCCCATATTCGCAGTAGGATTTCGTCATTCAAAATTCGATGGTTCTATGTACCATTGTTTTATCACAATGCGAGAAATAGACAATCATTTATGCAGATTTTTCATTATTTAATTTCTTCAAATATAATGCAGGACTCTAACATTTTGTGGCAACAGTTTGAAAAGTGAACCGACGTTTATGAGTCCGACGCAAAATGCCAAAACGAAAGCAATAGTCCTTCGGGACTGAAATCCCTTTGGACTAATAAAACAATTCTTTGGAAGCAGGATCTGATTCACACATCCTTATGCGTGCAATATGCGGACCATCTTCTTAACATTCTTCGAAATTTACACCTTAAGATATGCGATGAATGATAGAGGTAAGCGATAGGATTTTAAAATGAAGCAGGTAAAGCAGAAGAGGGACCTTGCGTTCAAAAAAAGAGTGGGAAAATCAAAAGGTTCCGGTCCTTAAATAGATGTTTCGGTTTGTGATTGAATTAAAGGTGTCCAATATTAGAAGTATGATGAGGCTTAATTTTGAAATGATGCATTTTAAATTGATATGTTGAAAAAAGTTACTATTCTTAAGATAGGAAATGGAAGTATCGAAAGTAAAATGAAGAGCAAAGATGCTGTTGTGAAATTAAAGTTAGTACTTTGCTTTCATATTTTTTATCTTACATGTATATAATACATAGCATATGTAATATACATGTCTTGTAATTCTTCTCATAAATGTAGTCTAAGTACACAAGTTGTGTAGCAAAACTGAATAACCCAAGTGTTACCTCGTCCGTATGCTCATCTGTAATGGTTTTAACTTGTAATAAGTAATTTATTTATTTTAATTTTTTAATTCTACATCATGGAACCCCACTGTTTCGAGGAAGAGCATTTAGGAAAGCTTACCTGGAAAAATATCAAGTAGCTATCTATATATAAAGGCGACTGTAAAGGAAAGGAGAGGTTCGTTGGAAAAAATATGCAGATATAAAAGTAAAGTTATATCATATTATGTCTGATTGGACAAAAATAATTCAAAATTATTAAACACCGAATTCTCATGGATTGAGCGAAGATTTGTTCGCTGCACTGGTAGTTGCTTTCAAGGGCGTTTGATTGTTGCTTTGAACTGATTGAAATTTTAATTAGTGAATTTATTGATTAAAATTGAAACACACATATAATATTCCATTTTTCCGAATGGTAATAGTCTGGACAGCCGGAGATAAAAATTTTTCATTTCGAAATGTAAACCACTGCTCGCTTTTAAATTACTGAGTTTGTTAATAAAAATTTATTACATCATACAAAACGTGAAATAAAGAAAAAGCAAATTCTAAATTAAAATTCGAACTTCGAGGTGCCCATGTTTGGGTTGAACACTACGTGAACTGAACATTCGGTGACTCTAGGCGCCGTCATTTTACCACAATGCAAGGAACATACAAAGGTTTTTTTTATTATTATATAATCGAAAAGAAGAGATAAAACAAATGGTAAAAAATCATAAAAAAACTGGAAACAGAATTTAGTTTAATTAAACTTACGAGTTATGTTTCCAGTTTTATTTCTGATATTTGTTTATGGATTCTATTTCCAGTTTATGAAATTTAAATTTTAGTAATTTCTTTATAATATATGAATTGTTTAAAAATAACTTTAAGAGCTCCCACAATAAGAAAAAGTTTGGAAAACCTCGTACCAATTATGCATTAAAGAAACTTTACCTTGATCAGAATCCTAAACAGAGAAAGAGCTTTCTAAAGCTAATATGTCTGTCTGTGATGTGGATATATATTAATGTTCGAAAATGTTATTATCTGTAATTTGCCAAGAAAAGTATTTGTTAAAAATTATCTTGAAATTTTAATTTCTTTCATTTTGATATTACTTATTAGAAATTCGCATCTAATTTAATGTATTTGGGAAATCATTTCAACATACGATGAATTTTCGAATACTAGAAACTATTTTTTTATGTAATTATTAGCTGAACTCGAATTTTTATGCGGTAAAGGAGCAGGATCTAAGAGTTTTACTGGACACATACTTCAGGGGAATTAAAATCTCATTCATAAGAAAAAAAATTTAATTTTAATTTGCTGCAATTTTACTGAACCAGAAATTTCAGAAGAGCATGAGAACGTGATTATTTCCTTGATGTGATTCGTTGATATAAGAAAATGTGTTGCCACTGCCTGAAATAAAATACTGTTATCTCCTACTCGCCATGTGTTACCATTCAGCAAAGCGTAAGGTCCAGGTATTTAATGTCCAGATTTAATCTGTCTATTATTGATTTAAGCGATTAAGCCAAGCGATTTAAAAGCTATAATAAAAAGCAGGTTTTAAGACTATTTTTTCTACTTTTTAATCTTGTTGATTTAAATAAAAAATGCATTTAAATCAGGAGATGTCTAAGTTAAAAAATTCAATATTTTTATGAAATTACATTAAGGCGGTTGGCCGCACAAGCAGCTAGTATTATAAACGCCATTACGCCATATGAAGGCAGTTTCAGACATTTTACATTAATTTTCTGAAGAATTCTCACATTGTAAAAAATCAAAAATTTAATTTTGCATATGGTTTTCTAATTCCAGATTATTCAAGAAATTCCGTACATTCCTATAACTTCTGACTACATGAATCACTATTTAGGTATGTGCCTTCCATCTTCGTGCAATTCAGATGATGTACGGCAGCTTATTAAACTCAGTAAGTACAAGCACATTAGCATTTGTTTACTTTATAAAGTTTATCCTAAGTTTTCTAACAGTTAATGTATAGTTTAAGCCACTTTCCTATCGCTTCTTAATTTCAGCTTACAACTTCCGGCCAGAACGTGTTTTTAGAAGCGCGGTTAATTGCAAATGAAGGAAGAACAAGTACTTAACTTTGAAGTTCTACTGACTTCGTTAGAGAGCCAGATATTCTGCGCAGCGCACGTTCGCACTTTTAAGCTACTCTCTCTCTCTCTTAAGTTAATATAACGCTCGGCCGTACTTTAGGCTCTTGATAGCTTCGACATTTAGTTAGCGTTATCGGGCCAACTCTGTTAGAATCTCGATAGCTTCGGCTATATCTTTTTATTTAAATTTAGTAAGTTTTACTTCTTAGTATTCCTGAGTGCAAGTCCAAGGGGAGGCTTTGTTGTAAACTCGAAGAAGGAGTCGTCTGTTAAATTTATTAGTAATAATAAAGGTAATTAACCCTTCGTACGTTTACGTCTCTATCGCTCTAAACTAAGCGATTATTCGCTTAACAGTTCTTAAGTTCCACACAGTTAGCAGTAAATCAAAGGTTGAAATTTTACAACTTACTTGATCGAAAGACGGATATCTGAGGACAAGCACAAACATTTTATTAATAATTATATCTTAGGACATGCGAAGCACGTTATTATCATGATACTTTATTTATAACATTCTCACGATTATTGTTATATCATTTATAATTGAACTGTGATTTTGTTTCCATAGTATAGCTTAAAAATAGTTTCCTTACATAAATTCATTTCATTTTATAAAGACTGTGGCTCTATTTTTTATCAAAGAAGTTACAATTGTGAGTGTTTTATTTTCTTCTACCTACATGATGTTGAAAATAATAATAATCAATAGAGAATCAGCGTAAATTGCCTAAATTTGCAGGAGTATAATTTTGGAGTGCAAATACAACCAACCTTCTTCAGCTTCAGCAATGACAATGACAACAGAGAAACATCTGCTTGCGCGTTAGTACCAGACAGAAAAATTCCAGAGCGTTGCAACGAAGCGAGAGGAAAGGAACGAAGAGAGAGTCAGAGCAGCCATATGTTTGTAAAAAAAGGAATTGTAGCAGCTACGAAATAATTTTTAAAAGCTTAATGTAAAGATGCATTAGAATTGTGATGAATAATCAAAAGCGAAAGATCTTTATGAAAGTAAAATGCTTTTCGGGAATTTAATTTACTAATAGAAGATGATTTTTGAATAATTCAGCCTGCAGAGAAACTGAAAATAAGATTTTTCGACCAGCAATGTTGAGCAATTGAGGATTTATGAATATTTTTTCTCTAATATATGTCTCATGCTTCTTAGTGTGAAGGCTTTACTTGTTTGACGAACAAATATTAAGCCGTAGTGGCAAGGAATACTGTGAATACTCCAGGATATCTATTTTTGACCAGCAATGTTGAGCAATACAGGATTTATGAGTTCCCTCCTAACATATATCTCAATCTTCTTAGAACGAAATCTGAATGCTTCCTTGTTTGGTCAATGTATATTACGCATTAATGCCAAGAAATAGTGTAGGTGCCAAGAAGTCACATCCTCAGCCTAAAATTAAAGATAGAGTAAAAAGAAGACAATATGTTAACCAAAGTAAACCTTTCCCCTTAGCCTAAAATCTAAAGCCTATTACTAATATTCGGCTAGTGAGACAAACAAATCTGATGCGTTAAACGAATGTCTTGCATAAAAGTCTGGATATTAGCATAAAAAGACTTAGTATATAAAACTTAATAAATTAGTGCGGAATAAATATAGGTTAAAACGTAAGTTTTTTACAACATGTTAAAAAAGAATGTTAGAGTAAGTTGAAATCATGTCAGCCTTTCGCTCTGTTGGTGATTAATATTTGAAATATATACTGTATCACTTTGGAAGTATTTCTGAAGAGTTCTTCTTTTTACATTTAGTTTATAAATTTAATAATATTTCTTACAACATTTCCTTTAATTTGCATTCAATTTATATATTCTTAAATATATGTACATTTATATAAATAGAGAACTGAATTTTGTCTAGAAAATATATTTTATTCTTATTTGCTATTTTAATATTTTATTTTTATTGTCCAAATTGTAATGCCAAATATTTAATAATTTCTTCAGCTGGTTTTCTGGAAAATATTTTTGTAGCTTATTTACATTAAAATTTCTCAAATTTAGTATTTATATGTGAAGGTTGAACTATTTATTTCGGATGAATAATTAGGCTTAAAGTTTTATAGTTGATTAAATAATATTTATTATTTCTTTGTTTAGTGTTTACTACAACGTATTTCTTAGTTTACGGTTTGAAATAAATTTTATTTCCTGTACTTGTTTTTAATTTAGTTTTTAAATGATTTATTTCACTTATTAACATAAATGTTAGTGCTATATCTGATCTAAAGAAAAAAACTACACGAAAAATTCATTACTATAAAATAACATTGAGCACCTATACTTGTGCTGTTGTCTATTGAATAATATTTGAACTAGTAATACTCAACATAAAATTACATATTTTTCAAAAGATGGTTTCAGAACTTTAGCTTTATCTCATCCCAATGAAGCATCCAATGAATCGCTTCTATTATTGTGTATTTGACTGTGAAACTTATTATACATATATACTTACAAAGAAATTCTTATAAGTATTCAATTCTTACAATAGATGGCAGCACGTCACGTTGTAACCTTAAAACTTGAAGTTCCCAGTTCTGTTAAAGCAGATTCACCAACAATAAATAAATAAATGAGAAGTTTGCCTGATCGAAAGACGGATATCTGAAGACATCAAGATTTCAGATTAATATTCTAATAGCTTAAATGAGATGATGGTTTTTAAAATTTCAAAATTTTTTAAAAGTATTAAAAACTAAACATGTACAACATCATGAAGCTCAAAATATTGTTACGAATTTGGTATTTAAAAAGCTAATGTTAGTTCAATTATAAATTAAATGGTTTTATTTCTCGCGCAGTGCAGCGCGTGACGAATATTAACTTTTACTGGAATAATGCAAAGGATGACGTGCAAAAGTGGTGCCTATCTTGCGATGCCTGTGCAGGTCGGAAAGGACCGAAGAGACGCAGCCGAGGCAAGCTGCAACATTACAACGTAGGGGCGCCTTTTGAACGTATCGCCTTTGACATCCTGGGACCTCTGCCACGAACTGCTGATGGCAAAAAATACATACTCGTTGTCGTTGATTACTTCACCAAGTGGCCTGAAGCGTATCCTATTCCTGATCAAGAGGCTGTTACAGTAGCTGAGGTGATGATACAGCACTGGATTTCCAGGTTCGGAGTGCCTCTTCAGTTACATTCCGATCAGGGAAGGAATTTTTTACCTCGGTAGTAATCAAAGAAACTATGCAAACTATTCGGCATTGACAAGACCCAAACGACGCCATTACATCCCCAGTCGGACGGCATGGTAGAGAGGTTCAATCGAACCATCCTTAATAACCTCTCATTAGTGGTTTCCAGAAACCAGCAGGACTGGGGACAAGAAATTATCGCTGTTTTTTACTGGCTTACCGCAGTGCTGTCCACGAGACTACCGGCTATTCTCCATCACAGATGCTCTTCGGTCATGACCTTCGTCTGCCTTGTGATCTATTGTTTGGCCGCCCTCCGGATGCTCCTTCATCGTCTGAGGAATATATTCAAGATCTCCAGGCCCGGTTTGAAGTAATGCACAATTTTGCACGAGAGCGAGTCAACTTGGCGACGGAGAAGATGAAGACCCGATACGACACAAGAGCTACTGAACATCAATTCCACGAAGGAGACAAGGTGTGGTTGTGGAATCCGACTCGACGGAAAGGACTTTGTCCGAAATTACAGTCACCTTGGGATGGTCCGTACACAGTCCTAAACAGGCTGAATGACCGTCGTGGTTCGGATTCGTAAGTCTTCGAACTCTAAACCTAAAGTCGTTCATTACGACAGGTTAGCTCTCATTACTATGGCCATAGTACATAATGTAAAATAATTGTAAATAGTATAAGACCATGGTCCATTTTGTTTTTAAATGTGTATTTGATTTGTATTTGATAGCATTTGATTTGTTTTATGTATTGCATTTATTGTTCATGTTGTTTATTATTGTAATGTAATACTTATTAATGCATTTATGCGACAGTTGTAAGTTTAGCTTCCTGTCCAGGGATTGTACTGCCCGGGACGTGCAGTCCTTGGGAAGGGGGCAGTGTTACGAATTTGGTATTTAAAAAGCTAATGTTAGTTCGATTATAAATTAAATGGTTTTATTTCTCGCGCAGTGCAGCGCGTGACGAATATTAAAAGAAAGCTAAGCCGGAAAATTGAAAATACAAGAGCGCGTGCATTAAATAAATAAATATCTCTTTTTCATTTCGAGAAAGTACTGGAAAATTCTAGCGCGTGATTTAAAAATCTTATAAAAGGAGGAAAACATCTCAGTTTGTAGTAGTTGCTTAGTTTGTTGTTGTTTAGAAAACTACTGTTGTTGTGATTGTAGCGAATTCGCGGATTAGCGTTCTTTAGCTGTTTTGAATTACGTTCTATTGGACATTTGAGTAGTTAAAAGAAAACTACTGTGAGATATTGTAATACTGCATGATAATTTGAGAAAATGTAAGCATTTTTGTTGTGATAATAATAAATTTTTGTTCATTTTTCATCGGACTTGTGCATTTATTTCATAACGAACCCGTAAGCACGCAACAATTTTTGGTGTCAGAAGTGGGATTCGAATGCCAATAACAAGAGCGATGGAAGAACAATTGAGACAGCTCATTAATGCTTTTGCTGCATTCCAAGAAAAGATGGAAGCTGGCCAAGCATCATTTAAAGAAGTGATGAAAGAGTCTGTTAAAGCAGAGATTAGATCCGTTAAAGCAGAAATGAAATTGGGCCAGGAATCCGTTAAGGAAGAAATGGAATTGGGCCAGGAATCCGTTAAGGAAGAAATGAAATT